AACCCTACATGTTCTCTTCGAATTTTTTGACCTTCCGATCCCAACTCTGTCATTCAGTGAACCCCACTGGTTTACGTCTCTAGTCTGTTCCGTTGGGTGCATAGTTGACCGGTGCATGATTTCACGATACACTGGATCCTGACGGTGCTTTACTACTTTCGTTTTTCCTTCATTTCCTCTAGGCCTGTTGATACCTCGTAGTTCACCCTGGTGTCTGGTTATCGCTGACTTTGGTGAACAGCATTGTCGCATAGCAACCAACTAACTTTGTGCGGTTTTCGCTATGGAGGCTAATCGACTGGATTTATCGTGAACCCCTGTCTGAGAAATATGCGCAGTCTGCACCGCTGCGACATGTTTTAGACAGACGCGATAAAAGCTACCAAACCAGTCCTTGAGTCAACGCTAGGTGTAAGTCGTACCAAGTGAAGAAGAAACCACTTCGGTCCGTGAAATACACCCATTTGTACACAAATTTTTACGGGAGCCTCAGCTAAATCCCACCCGGTTTCTTACAAGAAATCCATTTTATTCGTTTTATAGAATCTTAAGCTGTTGTGATCATACAAGGCGTCTATAATATTACAGGATATAGTTGCATTCGACGCCAAAGATGTCTAAGTAGACCTAATGAGAGTTTAGTGGTGAAGGTTAATTGTCGTTTTTACCCTCTTGAACTCGTTCACAAAAGCTTTCAAATAACTTATAGTTATATTGCAGCGAAAAACCAGTGTTAGACACCGATGTGCTGTCGAGGGAGATTTTACTGACAGCAAAGTCCGGAACGCTATCGCTACTCGCTTCGCTTCAGCAACGGTATTCCTATCTCGGGCCTTATCCATAAAGACGTGGTCATCTAAAAGTTGATAGTCTGACCGCGTTTCCCCACCTATGTTCTCATGGTTCCTTCTAACTACTCCAGACTTTCGCAATATTATAGGTAGGTGAGGGGGCATATCCAAAACCAGCTCAACAGGTGTAGTGAAACAACCTTGTTCTTGTTGGGACTGTCGGTATCCGACACTGTTTTATATGTGCGATGTTCCCACCATATATGTCCAAGCAAGGTCCCTTAAAAATTCAGCTGGAGGAAGTGAATTAACCGGGTTTAACATCTGCAAGGCTGGGTAGCTTTTGCGGAAGGTGAATTTCGCATCTCCATTGATCGTTCAGTTTGGCGAACGCTACTCTGCCTTCGATAACGTCGACTTTATAATGTACGGCTACTTGAGTGAGCCTGCTGACCAATTCTAGCGTCCTACACCGGGTGAACGCCTCTTCAGACGGCCATTACTCTCTGGACGAGGCAAAAACGTCACATCCATCGACCCCAGTTACTTTACGGTGACTGGTTTCTGTGACAAAGTGTCATCACCATCAGGTTTCAGGTCTGTGTACTTCCTATACAGTGCTTATGGATGCCAGTTTCGTTCGCCGATGTGGGGAGGTAGGGGTAGACATCTACGCGTTGGAGACGATGGCTGACACTTGGTGCGTCACTGCAGGAATGTCAGTGGGCTTTAATTGGCGGAGATCGGGATGGGAGAAATGCACTGGAGCCAGCTGCTTGGATGCATTCATGCCATTGAGCGCACGACTGGATTATTTCTGGGGATCCCTAACCATTGGTTTGTCCCGTTTGAGGGTCCTCATACTGGGAAACTGCAATAACCAATTCAGTTGAGTTTGCTGGTAACGACTTCCATACTTAGTTCCAATTCATTGACCTCTCCTGGCACTTTTCAACCCTTCTCCTGGTCGTGCGAAACGGGGTCTTCGAGGAATTCGGTTGACATACGGAGCACTTGACCAAGCCTGCGTAACTTTTCTGTCCGCCTATCGTGTGCGAGTTATTTCTTCCGGAAACCATGACCTACTTCAGCATTACTGATCCGGTGTGCCCATCAAACTCGGGCAGTACTCCGGAGACACGGATGGTCGAGCCCGAAAAGTTTTCTGACATTCCTAGCGCTATATAGGGCGTACCGCTGCATTTTAAACCCAGCACTTGACAAATAAGCTGATGTCACACTTGCGCTACAGGTGATGCAGGTTCACATAAGTTGCTCTGAACTTTCTGATCTGGATGGAAATATCGTCTTTGGCTAGACACCCCGGATTGATAGAGCTTCCTAGGCAGACAAATTTGTTGACAACCTCAATCGGCCCACTCGCATGTATGAGGTTAGGGTTTGAACCTATACAGTTTTGCCGCAGCGCGTTATGGGTGTGAAGTGCATGCTAAAGCTTGAGGCAGAATTTTTTAGGTTATCTAATGGTGTTTGCACTACGACGGCTTCAGATGGAAGAAAAGCTATGTCAACAGCGCACCCGATATCTGTGAATGTCGGGGGGGGGGGTTTCGACCCCCCATAATCGTATCAGTGGCGAAGTTGAAAGGAAAGGTGGAAGAGGACAGCCTTAGTCGACACCACTTGATGTAGTGAACTCACTCGAGAGCTTCTCGAAGACCTTCATAGATCAGCGGGATTTGGCGTGCATTAACTAACGAAGGGTGAAGAATTTATCAGAGGTAACTTTGCTCCATGGGGCTGCCATAATGCTCGACGATGATGCAAAACCAGCTTTTAAGCCCAGGATGGCCGGAATTCATGGTTGTTGAAGTAGCGTCGCTGTTCTAGAATCCATCGGAGGGTGCAAATGTGATGGATGCATCTTTCAGGACGGAACCCGGCTTGGTTTGCACGGATCGATTTCTCTCTATGTCCATCTAACTTTCATTGGAGAATATCGGAGCGCGCCTCTAATGCCGTAGCTACTGGGCGGATGTTACGGTGGCTTTCGCAGTGTTCGCGTACTTTTTTCGGGGATGGGAATAGTTGTCAACGTGCTCCACTCTACGCGTTTTCTGTTCTCTCCGTTCAGCGCTAGTAAGATTTGTCAGCAGTGCCACCGGGAGTTCTTCCCCTTTGAAGAGCTTTGGACACAGGCCGTTCGGTCCTGGTGCCTTTTTCTGTTCCAGCAGGCACATTTTCTACTTTATTTTTCCAGGCGGTCGATTAAAGTCCACATTCCATTCGGTCATGTGCACTGTTTCCATAGCCTCTTCTTGAGCCTGACCGTTAGTTCGAATGGCTTAACCCAAGTATCAAAGTGCAGTGACTCATTTGATTATCTTATATGTATGAAAGGTTACTCGTCGGGCTCTTTGCCTGCGTGGAGTAGAATTTCGTCTTACTGATAGCCAGTTCTGTCTGAAATCTAATCTGTTTCACAGCGTAGCGTAACCAAGGCAATCCTTCGGAGTGTGTTGGATAGACGCCCCAAACGCACTACTGATCATCCGTCGTCTGACGATTTCTAAATTGGGCATGAGTCGGTTTCACTTTGTTATGTTGTAAGAAGGTTGGTTGGAATTTGTGCGCTTCAGTCAGTGTCATTGATGTGTTTCAATGGTCGATGTTTTTGTCTCGTAGTAAGGAAGATCTGACTTTTTCTTGCACGAGAGCACGGCCTATCCCGCGTTTCATTTCCGATATGACCAGCAATCTGCTGTTGACGCCCATCGGGATTGTATAAGCACAGTCGATTCATCATCGTTATCATTGTCAGCTGTAATAACCGCTTACTCGTCTTACAGTGGTTGTGGCTGTCGCAGTTTCTTTCACTGATGATTTTGGGGGGAGGGTAGGTAGCTGCGCATTACAGGCGGGAGGTAAATTGGTGCATAAATCCAGCACTGTCAGTGGGCTGTCAAGTGGCGGGATCGGGAAGGGAGCTATGCATTGAAGGCAATAGCTTGGATGCATGAGCGCGGCTGAGCCATGTCTGACAATGTCTCTAACCATTGATGTTGACCGTCTCGGTGTTCCCATCCGGGAAGGCGGGAATGACCAGCGCAGCTGAGTTTACTGCCAAGTCATTGACTGCCTCTGGCTCTCTTCCACCCTTCACGTGGAAGAGTGCGAAAAGAGCCCTTCGAGGAAGTCGGTCGACTGGTATACGCAGCAAAGTCGATTAGGGATACAGCATAAACTTCATCCGAATACCACCTTATTGAACACCGTTGCTAATGCTTAAATCGCCTGTTAATGATGACTTAGTTGCTCGACGAGGCGAAGTTGACAAATTTTCAGTTTTATCGTTGTCTTAAGCCGAACTTGCTAGGGATATGACGAGTGAAGTCTGTTCGGTCTGCATCCACATTCCAGTCACCTGTGATTAGCAGCATGTCGCACCTAGATTCCCCATCGACGATCCCTTGCGCCTCACCGTAAAAACTTTAACAATAGAATCAAATGAAGGGCTGGCTGTGTGGACAGTAATTACAGCTAACTTCGGCCGGCACTTTTAAGTCGAGCTGTCGTAATACTAAGTGAGATGGGGTTCCAAGGCATGAGTGCAAGGTAATGGTTACTGCGTATAGACTCCAGTTGTTCACTGGACTGTAATACAGCCAGTATCAGGTGTTGATTCTTGCTGCAGCGGTTCGTGTGATGTTGAGCTTGGTAGCCTCATTTCAGGCGAATGTGTGATTCTTAGCCAGTAACTCAGTTGTTCCCTGATTTTGATCACCCAGCAGAATGCGGACATTTCAGCAGCCGATATGAACAGGCTTTCTTGTGTTGACAGTCCCAACCCGCTCATTGTTCACCTCTGCAACGAGCTGCTTGGGGGTGATTCACATATCTGGAACACCGTAGCA